GAGAAAAGTCCGTAGCTGCAGTAGCGTTAAGGCGCGTCTTTTTCTTCGGTCTAAAGTGCACAGGAACGGGGCTGCAGGGTAATAATACCCCGGATGCCGTTTCTATACTATGCAAGCACTGCACATTGAGGAAACGCTGACGAAGTACACTATTGACCGAAGAGTGTAGCTTGCTATTGCAGCTACGAACCCCCGGAGCTGAGTGTATAGTTTTTCTTCAGGATAGTTCAAGAGATGTACTAATCTGAAATGTTTTAAGGTGAGTAAAGAAGACGTCGGTGAGGCATACAAGATGTTCTACGACACCAAGAGAAGTGAACAGTACTTGAGACAAAACTCGAGCAAGTTCCTGATGTAAGGTGTTTTCGTCGGTGCGATGTTAATGGTTGTCATTGATACTCATTTTTAAGTTACTCTGTTACCTTGTTATTGTTATGATGCTTTCCGGATGTATGAAGAATTGAAATGAAGGATATTTTGTACTGATTTAGCAAAAACAACATTCACAGGAAAAACCATTCACAGAAAAATTATAAAATATCCACAAACTGGAACACTGGCACAACAAAAATGAAAATGCAAACGTAGCTGAGTGGTTAGGCGGCACGACTAGGTTACAGCGACTGCGGTCGTCTGTGCCCCTCCAGGGCTTAGCTTGGGAGAGTGACCTTCGGTTACGCGACAACTGAAACTTTTGATGGGGTCCCTACAGCGAAAGGCCAGAGCGCAATGAAATAAAGAAATGTGTCCGCTAAGGCACTGAGAGGTACAAAAAACATATCGCGAGCACGAGGTGACTTTTTTCAAAAAGAGAGGATACCGGGGTGGATGGGCCACTTATCATGCGTGAAAAGTTGGAATGTGAAAGATCAACGCGTTCACAAAACACCATGCACACATGAGAGCGCAGAGAAAAACAGAAAGTTGGCGCCATTAAAGGGACTTGGTTTTAGTTGTCCGTGGACCGATTACTTCCCAGGTAAGAGGAGCAGGTGAGCAGTTCTGTTCGCGATGCTGCCTGACCCTCTCAACTATGTTAGCCATAGAATAAAAAAACTATCCAAATTAGAGACGCTTCTTCACAAAATGCAAAATGGTGATGGAAGGCAGTCACTTCTCTAGAGCACTACTGGCTTGAGCGGTTCGAGCACGGATACGTAATGCATGGTTGGCGAGTCTGAGGCGGAGCAGCTCGTTTTTCATTCCTGTGTATTGGTCTTTCATTGATACCCTGAAAATATTTGTTTACGAGCGTTTCTCGTGGTTCGCGGCCAGTTAAAAACTTACATGAGGGCAAGACGAGTTTCATGGAGTAATCCTTCGTATCCAGTTGCATCAAGGGCAGCAGAAAGTTGTTCAATTTCCGATCGCATTTCAGCAGTTTTCGAAGTCAGGGAAGCAACTGAAAGTCTGCTTCAGGCAAAATGTAATATCAAAAGTGATATCGGAACAGTACATTCTATTTCCGTGAGTAGGTAGCTTGGTCTAAGATCGTCAAAGTTCATCAGGTCAAGGTTTCGGCTCCTCCGACTTCGTCAGAGCCTTGATGTAAGCTGCGGTAGGGCGAGGTCGACCGCCTAGTATCCTGGTCAGTGCTACATCTGCCAGTCAATTGTTCCTAACTAGTGAAACCGCTCCTACAATACAGTCCGTACACCAAACTCATTGTAGGTACAGATTGGGTGATCGATCTCGCGTCACTGCGGCGCAGATCAAGGCTCTGAACAAGCGAAGAAGCAGAAACGGCGGCTTAATGAATTTTGGCAACCTCAGACTGCTCAAGCTAGCTAATCATCTGAGTTCACAAGCATGCCTAGATTTAAGAGAAAGTGAACCCTGCTCAAGTTATTCGATCTCTACATCATCGCTTTAAAGCGTACGGGGTCCGCTTTGAAGATCCACGTTGCAGGCAACTCGATGAAAGTTTTGCAGAGAGCCTCAATAGCGTGGTACAGCGTTAGCGTCTACACCTAAGCTTTCACCTGGACGTGATGCATTATGTAGGGTCAGCTAGTTAGGAATTGTTTGGCGGCGGGTGTCACAAGTTAGATCTACCGACGCGACACCCACAGCGAACGTTGAAAACGTTTCGAACCCACACGGGGCGCGATAGGCCCACAGAATTAGGCATTCACGAATGACAACTCATGCCTAGTCGCCTATAATCTATCCCACAAGAGACGCTCGAGTGACATCGACGGTTTACTTTTTTCAGCCGAATAGTCCGGTAGTTCTCATGAAACTCAGTAGAAGAGAAAGATTTCTTAGAAGTTCTTGCATTTATTCGAACATGCCGTAAACTTTAATAATCTACCTTGTCTTCTAGCCATTGAGGCTGTTCGTTTGTCAATTTGTCATTTTGTGACTGTCGAGATACAGTGTGCTGAAAGTACGTATAATTCGTAATGCAAAGCTTAATCTGTAGATCGAGCTTTATGGGCTGAACAGGAATCGCTACAGATGTCAGCAATAAGGTTGCTTTCATACTTTGCGTAGCGTTTTGACCGTACGGCAGCGTTTTGAGCGACTAGAAAGTATAAGTATCGATCTAGCGCTGAGCGTATGCCAGCCCTCTGAGCGATTGCACGCGAAAATCTCGACATTGCTCGTGAGAACGCTCAAAACGCTGCCGAATGCTGGTCATGCCGACATACGCTGGCGAAGGCTCAAATGGCTGACGTTATGTATGAGCACACTCTGAAATATTGGAGAATTTTACACCAATTTTCGGCATTGAAATATCGAATCCCTCATTCCCACAGCCACACAACCGTGAGTAAGAATATGACAAAACAACGGCTATGTCTCTCTATGAGCAAGAAATGATAACAGCTGAAGCGGGTATAGAATGGAATCTTACCATCTCAGCAAGCTTTTCCAGCATGTCCTGGTACAAGTCCATCATATCCTGACCTTTTTCTTGGTCCAAACCGGACTTGCGTGAAGCGACCGCATTCTTTTCCAGATCGTCCACTCTTGCTTGCTCGCGTTTTTCTGCTTTCAGAGCTCTGAGCAGTGATGTTTCGGAAAATAGGGTAGCACGAACACAGTCACCTCATTACACAAACTTTGTATGAGAACTGACCTGAGAGGTCACAGGGCTACATCGTGTACCTTGGGCATACGCAGTAATCAGTTCTGGGTGTTCTTTGAGCATAAGTACTTGCTGTTAGGTAGAAACCCCAAGATAGCTTGAGTTCAGATGTGAGCGGAAAAGCATGAGATTCTAGCTTCGAATCGACTGCTACGGCTGCCGCATGTGTGCGACGTAGCGTAGTGACCTCTTGCTATTTCGTTTACAACGCTCTCGAATAACGCTTGAGATTCTCAAGATCAAGAGCGTGTTCATACTTGACGATCTAACCGCGCGTGCTATTTGGTCGCTTTGATCGCGTGACCGAGGCCAAAAGCGCTTTACCGTTCGTCGGTGGACCGCTGTAGCTGGTAGTTCAATTACAATCTTTACCTATCTGAGGTAAAGATGAAGATGCCTCTAGATTTAGACCATGCAACTATACACACAAAAAACGGAAAAAATGAAAAGTCGAAACGACCTTCAGATGCCGTTGCGGCAGTCCAACGATTAGCGGTGGAGCATTTCCGGTCTTGTTCGCGCGATCGGATCGATCAAGTCGCGAAGTATGAACGCATTCTAACAAATGTCAGTCTTTTGCTCTGAGCATTTGCCCTGATGAAGCAGTTTTATGCAGATGCGCCATTCAAAAATTAAAACCGCTATAGGTGTTGCACGAAAACTAACATTTCTTTAGCGTCGGTGATTTCTTGGTCCGCGCTCAGCAGATATTTTTGTTCCTTGCTCATTTCCAGACGAGAAATATCTGCGCTCGTATGCTTTGATCTACCTGTAACCACAAGTGCTCGAGAAGCACAAACTTGGCTATTCAAGGCTAAAAACTACAACCGACTTTCCAGATACTTCTGAAACTTCAACTGCTTGTCTTTTTCATGTGCATCTGCTTTCGTTGTCATAGCGTCAGCGGCTAAATCATTTGAAGTTGAAAACAGTAGGAGGCTAACAGAAACGCACTGATGAACCTTTGGTGCACCCCGCTTTTGGTCTTCTGAATTTCTCATGGAACGTGAGCCACAATCTGATCTGCCATACTGCTGAAAATACGAAGTAATTGTTATTAAGACAAATTAAAACCACAGCTACCCGAAAGGAAATCTTTGTATGATGTAAATAAGGACAGGTCTCTGGAACTTTTATTGCACAGAACACGAATAGCTTCATCAACACAGATACGAGGGGTCTTTGGTAAATTCTTGTCAAACTGTGTGGCCACGGATAAAGTTTGGTAAGGCCCTGGGTTTTTTACAGCACTCGAATTCATGGGTTCCGGGACAACAGAAGATGCAGGAAATTTTCTTTTTGTTGCTGTTTCGCAGAAAGATGGGTTCAACAGTGCTTGTGACACTGGAGAACAACTACAAGGCATCTTTCAATCGGATGCTCTGTCGTTGTGAGGGACCAAAACTGCTTTCTCACCGTATCTTATGTTCGAGCATTTATAGGAAGGAAAGGTAGGAAGAAGAAAGTAAGAAGGGAAAACAAAGAAGGAGGAAGGAAAAGGAACGAAGAGGAAGGCTCCAGGGTTTACAGATACCCTGAGGCCTTGGAGAAGCAGACAATGAAAACAACAGTAGAAAGTGTACGTATCGATCGGGAGGAACGGGAAATCGATCGATGCGTTCTGTCACTTTTGACGACTTTCGATTTCCCAATGGAGGCTAGATATGAAGCGGCTTTAGTGCAGATATTGAGAAGTATTTATCAGCAGATTATTTCACAGAAGTGCCGCTGAACTAGTGTCTGTGGCGTGTTCTTCGACTTGCAATCCAGTTTCCGGATTTTTTTTTGTCTGAGATCGGTCGAGCCATCCCATGGAATCGAGACCAGCATGGTGTGCCAGGAACTTGGGACTCAAGTAGCAAAGTCATCGGCAGCTCTGGATCGTCGGATTCGAAATGGGCGAAAGCGCGTCGCTGTGACAGCCGGTGGTGGCATGGCTGACAAGCTATACGGACAAACGCAACTCGAACGCGTCCTTTAATGGCGCAATATTTTTTTGTTTTTCTCCAGCACTTTCTCGTCTGGATGGTGTTTTTTGTGACGCATTCTTGAACAACTTTTTTTCCACATTCGCGTCTTTTCACGCAATGTAAGTCTATCCCTGGTGTCCTCTCCCGTTGAAATAAACTCATCTCCTAGCTCGCGACATTTTCTTGTACCTCTCCATGCTCTGAGAGGCACGGTTCTTTGTTTCTCTGCGTTCTGGCCTTTCGCAGTAGAACAATACGAAAGTATTAGTTATCACGTAACCCCTGACGAAATGTCGGTAACGAATCCAACAGGACGCTTCAGCAGCAGGCTAACGGATCAATGAGCGTCTTTTCTAGGTGCCATAGATGATTTTTATGGCTCCTTCCAATTCTCCTGTTTTTCTTACATATCTCCTATTTAGGCGATTCACTGGAGATGATTTTTTTTCGTTGCCATAACAGTTGCTGCCGTTTTGTATTTAACTAACTTTTTGGCTTTCTTCTGGTTTTCCCAGCTGGAATCAGTCTGGTTCAACAGGGGCATTTTTCGTATAATAGTTGCGATTTTAGCTCCGCGCTGTCACTATAATTATACTCCTTATCCCTGAGCCAGAGTAGGCGTGGCATTTGAACATGGCACGGAATGGGTTACTCGTGGAATATTCCAGTCTGGGACAACTGTCATCTTGTTCTGTGTTGGACAGAGACACGACAACATTGTGTCAAGATGAAAATATCTCACCAGAAGCACAGCCACCTTCAGGTTCAGTTGAAGAACGCAGCCACGCCTACCCGATCTCGAGTATATGTCCACAAGAAACTAAAATTTTCTTCAGTGTAATGCTGCAGCGGCAAATATTTGCTGTTGTATCCCGTTATAAGTAAGGTCCTTGAATAATAAAAATCCAACTGTCTCCTTTGTATGGTTTCGCAGCAGTATTTTTGCTCGTTTCTCATCCCTGATTCTTCACTCACCTGCTGTCCAACAAATCGCGAGAAATCCAACGATGAATGACTCGATTTCACATCAGCTCACGCTTTTCTTCAGCTGCCTGCGCTCCACCGCTGAAAGTTAGCAGGGACTGGAAGAGCGACCTAGTCTCCCATGCCTACCTGTTGTTGTCACGTAACTAGGCAAGCGCTAGCACGTCCTTGTCGAAGTACGCAAACATCATTAAAGTTATCGGGTGTGGAGCGTTACTTCTCACAGCGAAATAGGCGTTGCATGTGATGTGACTTAAAAGGTGCTCTCAATAGGACCCA